CTCCAAACGGGGCATGCATATTCAGCAGTTGAGAAACACACTGCCTGTGCCGTTGTTCTTAAAACGCCAGGACGTGCGCCCCATTTACTTCCCGTTAGCTTTCTGAGTATGCTGTTCCTAGTTGTTACTTTCCCTCTTGTTTTTTTGCAATGTTGTCTGTAGGTGAGGGACCGGTCCAGAGTTACTCCAGATATATAGGTTGGTTTGTGTGTTCTAATGTATTACCATTCCACACAATTTGGAGTTTTCGCTTGGCTTCCTTTGTGCGAAGGTGGAAAGCGCAGACTTGGGGTTTAGAGGGATTGGGTCTCAGAGAATTCTGCAGGTAGTACGCTGTCATTGTTTTTAAGGCAGTTTCGAGTTTCTCCTCCACTTCTTCAAAACTATTTCCTTGAGCACATATTGCAAGATCGTCAGCATAGAGGAAGTGCTTGGTTTCGGTCGGAGTAGGTTGGTCGTTTGTGTATATATTGAGGAGCATTGGTGCTAAAACACTTCCCTGTGGGAGGCCGTTTTTTTGAACTCTCCACCGTACTTACGACGAAACAAATTTGGAGCTTCCTCTTACTAACCTGAACGTACTCTTGTCACTGAACATGCCCTTTTGACACTGTTTAGGTGTCCAGTGCTGATACTTTTTACAAAAAGCTAATCTTATTTTTCATTGTTTTTGTAAGCAAGAGCTTCTTTGCAGCACGTCGACTTAGCAATGCTAGATCTTTCTGAATCCGTTGATGAATCGTTCTTGTTGAAAAGTTTTGAATGAGATCAGGATATTTATTCTTGAGTTTCGTGGCAGTTATGGAAGGGTTCAACATGACTGCAGGCCTGATGATGTTTCAGTCCTGGATGATGTTTTTTTACGAGCTCCGGAATCTAATTTTTTTTCCGGAACAGTACCTGAAGGCAACGACACAGCCGACCGTTGCAGTTGATAAATTGTCTCTCTGAAACACCAATATCACGTGCTGCGGTAATTACAGACTCCTATTTGTCAAGTAACGATAAAGCACGAACTTTATCTTCATTTATAAGTTTCTTCCGACCCACATTTTAGAATTTTGTATCTCAAACACTCACTAAGTGAAAAGAAGTTTTACCTTGACGAACTTTAACTGCATTATTCACTTTTCTAGCATAATATAGACTTCTTTTTTGTTAGAATTCCGTTTCTAGGACAGGAAGATGTCCTTTTACTTACCGATTCTCAGATATTAGAGCCTCGTTTGTTATATTGTAGGATGTACCGGATGATCAGGATCGAGATCATCTCAAGGTCAGGTGAGGTTGACATTTGGATAAGAGAAGCTATAAGTTACGCATCACTGTCCCTTACATCCCTTACTTTGTCAAGTCATATGCTAAGGCCTTTCCCTTTTCAATATAAGTCATGTCATATGATTTTGTCGGTATTAGAACCGTAACATAAACGCATGTTTAAAAGGTACATCTTTCAATGTGCCTATAGTTGAGCTAGATTGAGTTTGTGTGGTTTGGTTATTGATGGAGTCGTTCAGAGCTCCGATCACTTTACAGAAAAGCAAATTTGGAAAATTTTGACTCACGTGATATTGTGCGCCGATCGAGTGTTATGTTACATTAATTTATTGATCCCTCTTGACACCAACCTTGAATATAAACAGAAAATCCCCAGTAAATACATTCCCTTTGAGGTAATTACTGTGAAAACCGTTTCTTCGAATTGATAACTTGCTTATAAACATATTCATTATTTATAACGAAAAATGTTTAAAATGTAAAACACACATTTCTATGTGTTAAAAATGCCAAGCACATTCTTCGAGTATTTTTAGAAAAAATAAATTACTAGTTTTTACTTCAATGCTGAATTTTTTGACACCACGTATAATTTCGACATTTATTCCATTCATTTCGTTGTAAATATTGCATTGCGTGGTGTCAGAAGATAATTGGAAGACCTTTTAAGTATTTAATTGGTCTAACTTAGAAAATTGCATCTTATATTTCCTCACTTCGAGGAAATATGTCATCCTGTTCCTGTTAGTATTTAAAAAATTAAAAACTATTTTAAGTCGGTTATATTTTGTTAATTTATTATACAGGTCAGCTTGAACCGGTAATGATTCATTAAAACTAACTAAAATATAACAACTAATTTGTGTAGTTTATAAAACAATTTCTTACCTTTAATTGGTCGATTTTTTAATCATGAGATAACTGATGTACAGAGAATATATCGACTATAAACGCCCAAAGAAGTTGAAGTGGTTACTAGTACTATGCATAGTTAACAATCATCATCAACAGCAATTCTATCATCCATCGTCGGCTATACGTGTGTCCATTCATTTCTGTTTGTTATTTTTTGCATCCATTCTTGACCAGCCGTTCGCTTGATGCTATCATTCCATCTGGTTTGAGGTCTGCCTCTAATTCTCTTATTTGCTCTTGTTCACCATTCAACAATTCGCTTCGTTCAACAGTTGTCTTCCATTTTAACATCACAATTTTTTGGATTACATCTGTTGCTTTTGATCGTTTTCTTATTTCTTCATTGGATTTGCAATCACTGAGCTTAATGTTGACCATTCTCCGTTTCTTACCTATCTGAGTCACTTGAAGTTTCTGGACTATGTCGTTATTAAACGCCCATGTTTCAGTTCCATATCTCAGAACCTGCAATACAAAGTGATCGAAAGTGATTTTCTTTAAAGTATTTGGTAGGTTTGATTTAAATACTTTTTATAATCTTCCAAATGTTGCCCATGAATTGAACATCTTCATTGGCATTATATCCTCAGGTATATTCAGAGATTTGTTTTTTATATATTTAGGTTTTGCTAGATTTCTTGTTAATCTTATTTCTTTTGATTTTGCCTTTAGGTCTAATAGCATTGCTTGCAGTTCTTCTCTGTCTTTTGCTATTAACGCAACATTATCGGCAGATCTCAGATGGTTCAGGTTTTCGTCATCTATCGTTACTCCTTTATTTGTCTATTCAAAAGTTCGAAACATATTTTCTAGAGGTAAAGTAAATAGCTTGGGTGAGATAAAATCCGCTTTTCTAACTCTTCTCTGTAGGTTTATCTTTTCTGTTTTTACTTGCGATGTTAAATTGTCGTATCTTCTTCTTCTTCAAGTGCCATCTCCGCGGCGGAGGTCGGCAATCCTCATAGCTATTCGGACTTTAGAGACGTCTGCTCTGAAAAGTTCATTTGATGTACATCCGTACTACTCTCTCAGGTTGCGCAGCCATGACATTCTACGCTTCCCTATGCTTCTCTTTCCTTGGTTCTTTCCCTGCATAATCAGTTGGAGCAAGGTGTATTTCTCTTCACCTGTAATATGTCCAAGATATTCCAATATTCTTGTTTTAATTGTATTTAAAATTTCTATTTCTTTATGCATCCTTCTCAGAATCTCTTTGTGACGTGTTTTCTCTACGATATTTTCAAAATTCTTCTATACACCCACAGCTCGAATCATTCCAGATTTTTCATTGATGTCGCATTCAAGGTCCAAGATTCCATTCCATAAATAAAGTCGAAAAAACCAAGCATTTTCGTTAGCACTTCGCCAACCTAACTTTTAGTTCCAATTTTAAATCCCTTGTACATAGAACTCTTCTCATTTTGTTGAAATTTGCTCTAGACTTTTCTATTCTGATTTTGACTTCCTGAATGTAATCATTTGTGGAGTTAATCATTGTTCCCAGATATGCATATATGTGCACTTGTTCGACGTTCGTTCCGTTTATTAGAAGATTCTCGTTATTTCTTTAAGTTTCCGATATTCTCATAAATTTCGTCTTTTTGACATTCATTGTTAGACCATACTCTTTTCCATACTCCGCTATTCTGGTCAAGTTGAAGATCTTCAATATTTTAGGCTAAGATCACAGTGTGGTCCGCATATCTAATGTTGTTAATGGGACTCGATTTACCTTTATTCTAGCTGTAATTTTCCACACCCATAACTATAAGGTCTCCTGCTACATTATTTCTCCACCGGAGTCGAGGACGTTCACATAATTTTCTTTCAGTTGGAGCTTCTTACCATACGACCCTTACTATTCCCTATATATAGTTCTTCGAGCTCATAGTACTAATCGTGTTATGAACCATTCTTTTAGTTCATATAACCCACAATAAAATTAATGTGGTGTGTTTGGCCAGTTGCTGTAAGGAATGTTTTTAGTTTCAAGCTGTTCTTTTTCTTGTGATTCCTTCTACTGTGAAACGGATGTTGGTATCGTCAGAGCTATTCGTATCTTATTGGCAGCCGTTCTGAAAAGGTCTACTGAGCTGCAATTATACCACTCTCGAAGATTTCTCAGCCAGGAAATCCTTCTTCGATCTACGCTTCTTTTACCTATGATCTAAACTTATTTTCTTCACCTTCATTAATTTGCTCTATTTACTAGGTTTTGCAGTTATCCTAGACTCAGGATCTTATGGGAATCCCAGACTCATATATCCATACTCATAGACTCAGTACAAATGGAACAAAACATGAGGATTCTGAATATAATCAACTGGAACAACGAGCCGGAACGGAAAAATATCTTGGAACTGACCGATGATGTTTCCACTGTATTTACAATATGACTAGTGTTAACAACTCTTAAATCTAGAATGTCATCAGCAAGTCACTGTACTTCGCTTGAATCGCAGTGTACTTGTATTTCTCATGATCTAATTAAGTTCTGTGCAAAAATAATAGGATGTTCCCTGTTCTTTCGGTTACGTCTCTGAATGTAGTTAGTGATCTTCACTTTTACAGTCTTGATTTTGGGGTCACGCCCTATGTTGGATGTTGGTATTAGGCATATACTAGAAGGTGTTGGTCATCATCTTGACCTTTTCCTTATCTAATTATACCATTGGAACTGTACTAATGACATCAGTTAATATTCATATAAGAGTATAATAGCTACCTGTATAATAAACCAACAAAACTACTTCGTAATTAAAAAAAAAAAAAGATATTTTAATCAAATTTTCATTTTGTTATTTTAGTTGGATGAGACTAGGATTCTCTGTGGACCACAGAGGCCAAATACCGGTAAAAGTAATTGCTAGGACTTTCGCGTCCGGCAAAACCGAGAAGTTGGTCTATCAGATTCTGTCCGAACTTGAACTTCCGTCTGGAAAAAATGATTCCATCGAACCAGAGGCTTTCACTTTTGACAAATTCTACTCGTTGTACCACAAGATCTGTCCAAGGAACGATATTGAGGAGTTGTTCAGGAGCATGTAAGTATTAGATGTGATGATTATGGGTATTTTTGAGAATTTTGTAGTGATCGATAAGTTGCTAGAAGTTTATCGTTTCCTATTATTATTTAGGTGTTTTTTGCAGTAACGTTTACAGTAATACCAGCGTTGAACAAGTTGGTAAATAAACGAAATAATTGAAAACTAGTAAAAGCAACAATAATCAGAAGAAAAGTGTAAGAAGAAATCTAACATTTATACACCTACAAAAAGCATATGACAACGTAGCGTTGATAAAAGTTGACCAATGACTAGAAGAAATACTATGGAATATTTGTTGAAAGAAGTTGACAGGTTGACACCTGTCTGTGTCTGGAAGAATTTGGACATTCTTTACATCTCCTACATTTGTCCGTTAAAAGAATTGCTTTCACCAGTCTTATTAATAGTAGTGAGATAGTGAATTCTATCATGGTTCCTCAATTCAATTCCTTGGTTTACTTAGATATTGTTCAGCCAAATTCATTTTGTCTTTGAGATGAGACTATAACAAAAATTTGCCACTATTTCTAACTTTGCTATCGCACATATTCAGTCAGAATTAAATATAAGTAAAATGCTGTCGTATGAACTTTGCCGTTTGTAGACTTTACTGTAACATAAAAGTGTTTAGATAGATTTTAATTTTTTTTAATTCTTCCAGAACCACTGCTAATGCCGACTACTTGACATTGGACCAGTTCATCAACTTTTTGAACGAGAAGCAAAGAGATCCTCGACTTAACGAAATATTATACCCTCTGTACGACGAAAAACGTGCTCAAGAGATTATAAATACGTACGAGCAAGACGAAGTCTCAAGGACTGAGGGAAAACTTACCAAAGATGGATTAATTAGGTACGTATTTGGCGCATTTATCTTTTATGCTCATCCATTTCTCAATTCTAACTTTCTAATTCAAAGGTTTTGGTCATTTATGCATATTATTTGCCAGCCAACAGTTTAACAAGCTTTAATTAGGAAAATGATGCACCATTATTTTCAACACGCGAAAAACTGACACAGAACGGAAGTAGAACGAGGCGAAGCGAAGTCGCATGAAGTACCTGCCTACACTCTAGTACTCAATGAACTTCGATCAACTTCGCGAGTAGTATAGTGGCCGCTTTGGCACGTGGTGCTACTTCTTTCTTCTTCCTATGCCGTCCACATTAACAGAGGTTGGTGACCACATTTCTAAAAGTTTCTCTGTCTTTTGCAACGTAGAATAATTCATCTACAGTCATGTTTGTCCAGTCTCGAATATTTCGCAGCCATGACTTCCTTTTTCTACCTATTCCCTTTTTGCCATCGACTCTTCCCTGCATGATGACCTGCAGAAGACTATATTTATCATTCTTCAGTATGTGTCCAAGGTATACAGTCTTGCGTACTTTTATTCTCAGCCATCTTTCTCAGCACTTCCTTATAGGTTACCCTGGCAGTCCATGGAATTCTCAACATTTTCCGGTATATCCAAAGTTCAAAGGCTTCAAGCTTCTTAACTATTTGCGCTTTTAACGTCCATGTTTCTACCCCGTACAGTAGTTGGGACCAGACGTAACATTAAACAAACCTCAGTCTCAGCGCACTATTCCGATTTTTGTCATAGAACAATTGCTTAAATTTTAAGAACGCTCCCCTTGCCATTTCTATCCGTACTCTGATCTCTTGGTCTGGATCTAATTTTGTGTTGATGTAAGCTTCCAGATATTTATATTTTGTCACTCTCTCTATTTGCTCTCCACCAAGGTTTAGTTGTTCATTATTTATTGGACTCGCTTGATACTATCATAAATTTTGTCTTATCTGTGTCGATATCAAGTCCCATTTGAATGCATTCACTATTTATTGCGTCTAGTAAAGTTTGTAGTTCTTCTATACCCTCAGTCATAATTACCGTATTATCTGCAAATCTCATGGTGTTTACGATTTCTCCACCAATTCTTATTCCCTCTTTTCTTTCCCATAAGGCTTTTCTGAATATAACCTGTGAGTACACGTTGAAAAGCGTCGGAGACAAGACGCATCCTTGCCTGACCCCTCTCGCAATCGGTATATTATTTGTTTCTACAAATATCGTTCACCTTTACTACTGCTTTCTGGTTCCAGTATATAGCCTTAATAAACTCAATGTCTTTTTTGTCTAAATTGATGTTTTTTAGTTCATCTATTAACTCCATATGCTGCACTCGGTCGAATGCCGTCCTAAAGTCTATGAAGCATACATATGCACTCTTGTTATATTCCTGACATTTCTGCAAGAGTACGTCAACCCAAATAATGCCTCTCTTGTACCCATGCCTCCTCTGAAGCCAAACTGCGTTTGATCTATCTGCTCCTCACATTTCTTATAAATTCGGTTTTGAACAATTTTCAAGTCATTACATGATTTGGGATTGTTGTTTTTTGGTAGAGGTAAAAATATCGATTTAAGCCATTCCTCCGGGATGTTGTCCTCTACATATATGTGGTTGAGAATTTGGGTCAGTTTCTTTATATTACCGTCATCTAATAGCGGCTTCCCACGGTCGGCGATATTGCGGACGTAAGCGGACCAGCACGCACCGTGGGAAGGGTCTCGTCCGTGGTAGCACAGGCACGTCCGTGCTGGTGCGTCCTATCCATCTAGAGTCGGTAACATCAAAGGTGCGGTACATGCTCGTGCGACGCGATCCTAGCGCGTCTGTGTTTTAACAGACGACAAGTGCAAAGTTGTTTTGCAGTTTTTTGCTGAAAAATGGAATGGACAAACAAAGTTGTTTTTGATTTTTTAAATTTGTATCAAGATGAACGAAGTTTATGAAATTCCACGGCGCCAGAACATAAGAACCGGAACGATGCATACGATGCATGGAACCGAATAAAAAATCAATTGAAAAATATTACTATTTCGATTAAAGAATTAAAAAAGAAGAGAGATAATTTAATGTTGACATACAAAAGACAAAAAACAAAAGTTAGAGAATCGATGGGAACTGGTAGTGGGGCTGATGATGTTTAGAAGCCTGAGTGGCCTTTTTATGATATAATTAAACACTACTGTCACGGACCTGCACAGACTGTCACGGACCGTAGAAAGAGCTCTGTCTGCGGTGCGTTGCTGTCCGTGCTGATCGGCTGTCCGCGATGATTTGTAGAATTGCCGATCGTGGGAAGCCACTATAAGGCTTTTAACAGTTCAACTGGAACTTGATCAGGACCCGGTGCTTTTTCTTGTTTTGCATTCTGTAGGGCATGCTTTACTTCTGAGAGTAAAATTTGTAGGTATTGTTCTTCTTCGCCTATATTTTGTTCATTTTCCCTCTCGTCATGAAACAGACGGATTATATATTGTTCCCATACTTGCTTTATGTTGCTCTCTTCAGTAAGTATTCCTCCATAATTATCTCTTGTTATGAGTGTTCTTCTTTGTCTGGTGTTGCCTGTAAGTTATTTCATTTTTTTATGTAAGTTTGAGGTGTCATATTTGTTGCTGAGTTCTTCCAGTTCTTCAGTTTGATAAAATTGTTGACAATATTAGAAATTTCAGTGGCGATATGTGGCTTTTATTGGGTACTCGAGAGAAGGAATAACTAGCTGCATTCGTAGTACGCAGCTTTTATCTTAATATATCCAGACAAAATTAAAAGCATGGGAACTTGGGAATAAGACATACTCACAATCTACAAAATGTTTTTGGTACAAAACTGACCAAAATTTTAAATTCAAGAAAAATTGAATCGCTACACACTATCACAGGTTTCTACTAAAAGATTTTAAAGTTATCACATAAGTTAAAGCTTGGCTTACAGCTTTCACGGATACTTAATATTATATCTTTATATATTGACAGAAGAAAATATGTGAAAAATAATTTAGTGATAGAGAATTTGTACTCTATAATGTACAGTCTCGACCAACACATAATTCTCGTACAATTTTAATATTTTCTCGTTGACCTCTGCTCTAAATTTTTGATGATTTCCACCCATTGCCGTCGTATTTTTTCGACATCTCGACGAGTTTAGTTGATGTTTTGGGACTTCTAAAAGTAGAGCGTGACGTTTGAACGAATGGACGCACTGGAACAGAAAATCGAGATAAAATATTTACGAGAAGGAAAGGAACGACGAAACTCACCGGCCGCATTTTAGATATCTCTAAAACTCTTGAATTGTTAAGTTTCGGGAGACGCTCCTTTTTCTAAATTTATGTAAATAAAAAGTCCGATAAAATCACACCCGCCGTCAAAAATATTATTTGTTTAGTCTATAGTCTATGTCAATAATCAAAATTTTCATACGTTTTTTTCCTATAAAGAATTGCAAACATATTATTCATGTGGGGGATACGATGTACTATTTAAATATTTATGGGATTGTCGCTTACTTGATGGAACTTCATGTTCAATAATAAAATAAAACATAAAAACACAGACCAGGTCGGATCTCTTTTGAGGTGGATGTGGGAGGTGCAAATCTTTGGCAGAAAAATTATTTATAAAAGATTAAGAATATGATTATTTTAATAAAAGAAGCTATTTTAAATTTTATAAATAAATTGTTAAATATAATACTCAATTCCAATATTTTAATATAAAATAAATAAACTTTGAACCTGAAATAATTTGTTAAATATCTGGTAATAACCATGGCGCCACCTGTTGGCGATTTACAAAAACTCAATTTTTTCACGCTCACACAATTAATAGAATTAAATACATGTTTGTTTTTAGGTATTTAATGTCTGATGAAAACGCGCCAGTATTTCTCGATCGTCTCGACATTTACATGGAGATGGACCTACCACTTTGCGCCTATTACATTAACTCTAGTCACAATACTTACTTATCTGGGCGACAATTTGGTGGCAGATCCTCCGTTGAAATGTATAGACAAGTATTGTTAGCGGGTTGTCGATGCGTCGAACTCGACTGTTGGGATGGTGAGTACTTCTTCTATTACATTAGTCTTTTTATGTTAATATAAAATTACATTAGTCTTTTTATGACCATCATGTGATCAGTAAAAAAAAATTTCAACATATCGACCTGCATATTGAAGACGAACGTATTGAAAGAGTACACCGATTTAAATATCTGGGATATACAGTAAATGACAAGTGGGACCCAGAAGTAGAGATTAAGATCCGAATTGAAATAGCAAGATCCAAATTCATCAAAATGAGAAAGCTCTTAAGCAACCGCAACCTAAGCATTAACCTCCGATGGCGCGCCACGAAATGCTACGTACTCTCTACGCTACTTTACGGCGTAGAAGGGTGGACGTTAACAGCAGCAACTATAAAGAAGTTAACGGCTCTAGAAATGTGGCTGTATCGACGCATACTGAGAATACCTTGGACAGACAGAGTGACCAACACAGAGGTATTAAGACGAATGGGTAAAGAGGTGGAATTGTTAACAACTGTTAAAAGGAGGAAAGCGTCATACCTGGGCCATGTGTTCCGTAATGATAAGTACAGTCTGCTGCAGCTTATCGTGGAAGGCAAGATTGAAGGTAGAAGAGGTTTGGGCAGAAAGAAGAAATCCTGGCTGAGAAACTTGAGAGAATGGTTTCAAATACCAGAAGCTGCGAACATAATTCATGCGGCACAAAACAGAGAAACCCATCGTATGATGGTCGCCAACCTTCGGTAGAAGACAGCACATAAAGAAGTCTTTTTATGTTAATATAAAATTAAGTGTGTAAATTTTCCACCACTGTCCTAAATACTATGCTGGATATATCAACATAAGATTAAAAGGGAATAAAAATACAGTAGATCTGCTGGATCTTTGCACATTGTCATTCATTCTTATTATAGAGATAAACTGCTCACAGTCGTAACCACTCGACCACTGTATTTTATTCTTTCGTGAAAATTAAAATTTTTGTGTGGTGTTACAATTGGAATTTTTCAGGTAAAACTGAAGATGAAGAACCCATCATCACCCATGGTAGAGCCATGTGCACGGATATTCTGTTTAAAGACGTAATCTACGCCATAAGAGACACAGCATTCGTTACATCGGAATATCCAGTCATATTGTCTTTTGAAAACCATTGCTGCAAGTCCCAACAGTATAAATTGGCCAAGTACTGTGATGATATTTTAGGTAAGAAGAATTTTATCGTATAAATAATTATCATTCATTCATCATTAATCAATTTTTGTTTGTTTTTAAAGGTGATTTGTTGCTGAAAGAATCTCTTGAGGATTTCCCTTTGGAGCCAGGTAGTCCTCTTCCTCCGCCAAGTGCACTGAAGAGAAAAATTTTGATTAAAAATAAGAGGTAAGCAATTTCAGACTTTTTTTTTAAACAAATATATCTGCATCAACCATCAAGGGTTATTAGCGGGGGAACATACACAAACAGTAAGATATGTATTGTTACATAAAAAAAATATTTTTTACAATCTGGTATATAGTTTAGTCATTTTAAGATAACTTAATAAAGACTTTAAGTTTGACGCTAGTATTCTTTTTAAATTGTCCCTAAGGGCACATGTGATTCTTTCGTTGTGGTACACTGGACACTCGACAATTATATGTTTTACTGACAACTGTGTGTTGCACTTGAAACACATCGAAGCAGCCTCCTGGTTGAAGATATGCTTGTGGCTAAATAAAGTATGTCCTATTCGGAGTAGGTTGATGATGACTTGGTCTTTTTTATTACTTGGTAAGAAAAGTTTGGTTCATACTTGACTTAGACATTCTTTGAGTTTGTTGGCAGTGTGATCCCAAGTAAGTCGCCACGCTCTGTACATGTGCATTGCTTGCCAGAGAGTCCACTTCCTCATTACCACTTATTCCCAAATGCTGCAGAATGTCCTTCATCACATTTGGAAACATCGTTGAAGATTTGATGGGTTGTTGAGTATTTGGATATTACATTTTTATAAGCTTGCTGTATAAGGAAAGGATGTGTGGAATGTTTCGGAAGTTCTTTTAGAGACGTGTCTATTTTTGGAGGTTTTATTCGCTCAGAAAATGGTAGTTTTTTTATTGCAATGTTTCTATTAAGATCGTACGATATATTTGTTCTGCAAAGTATTGTTGAGTAGGTTACGTTGCTGCTGTTTGCTGAAATTCTGGCAACGTAATGTAGTGATATGAGTTGCCTTCGTAGGCTTAAGGGAGTTCATTAGAAAGAGCTTGTAAGCTACTTATTAGACTAGTTCTTGTGGCACCTAAAACTAACCTCAAGCACATATTTTGAACGTAGTCAAGTTTTTTTTAAAGATGTTTTGTTAGCAGTATGTAGCATAAACAGCCGTAGTCTAGTTTACTTCGTATTAGTGATCTGTATAGAGTACGTAAGGTTATTGTATCTGCCCCCCAAGAGGTATTTGACAGCATTTTTAGTAATTTAATTCTGGATTGGCAAGAACGTTGCAGATTGGTTATGTGGCTCTATGTGGAATGTGGTTATGGGGAATTATTTTTGTCTTATAAAAAATAACCTTTGGTGTATTCCGGGTCAAGAATTATAAAAACTGCTTGTAAGGGTTGCTTTTCAATATATTCTTCATCTTTCATTACAACTCTAGTTTGCCTTGACCATTTTTTTCTAATCCTTTTTCTCAGGAAATATGCTCATCATTGCCCTTAAATATATTTTTTATCATTTTTAGTGCCATGCTATTCTAGAATTTGTGAGGCAGCATTTTCCTATATTACTTCAGGTTTAAAGAAAAACTGTCTATATCTCTCGACTTTCTGAAGGTTTTAAATACTAAATCAGTTCTTTTTAGAGCGCATTCGTCTGGTTATCTTGTGTCCGTATACAAGAGTTACGTGAAGCGTTTCGAAACTGTTTCTAGAACACTTCGTAATGAAATAATCAATTTTTAGGTTGAAGCCAGAAGTAGAGAAAAATGAGTTGGACCTGTTTATGAAAGGTCAATTTGTGATTGAAGATGAAGAAAGGGAAGATGCAAATGCGAGCGCGGAAAGGCCTATTCCACCAGATGCGTCCATCGAGGTAAAAACTTTTTTGTCATTATTTTTACTTGTTTGTAATTCTAAAATATACTCATACTGTACACTGTTATAAAAAATAAAAATATGAAAAGTAGTTACGCATGGTAGATAGAGTGTGAGAAGAAATATGGGAGGTAGTGAGATCTGATTGTAATGCCGAAATCGTTTTCAGAAAATTCGGAAATAAAAATTATGAATGTTCAACCTTACTTGCCTTGATCGTATATAGGTATCAATGTCAGATTGTTGTACTCTCGAATTGATATCAAATTCTGTTTTTGCTGTGCTTGTTGTAGTTAATTATAGATGATGTGGCTCTAATCTATTAATTTACTGATAGTATGTTCTTATTGTTGACTTCTTTTTCAATATTGAAGAAAAATGTGGCAAACTCATCAATAGAATTAACAGGCTTTGATTACCAATATTAAAAGAAGTTACAAAATAAAAAAAAACCATCACTAACGACTTAATAGCACAGAAAGATTAGAATTTGATATCAATTAAGTAAAAACAGAACCTCTCGGAAGTTTCTGATCTAATACAAAAGTATCTAACCAGCGAGAGAGTAAAAAAAGGAAAACAGCAGTCACGTGATAGACATAGAGAGAAAGAGAAAAATAGAGAACGAGGGGAATCCGCGAGGAAAAGAGGAAAGTCGCGTGCGAGTGAGAGATAGGGGGAAAGTAGAAGAAAATTGTATATGAGAGATATTTAGAAAAGGAAAAATATTGAAACAGAGGGGTCAAGAGTGATGGAGATGCCGTGTGACGGGGGGGGGACCATCAGGAAATGAGAAGATTAAAGGGAGAAAAAAGAGGGAATTCGCGTGAGGGAGCCAAAGGGACGGTAGAAAGAAAATCATGCGAGAGAAGGGAAGTAGGAATAACTTCTGGAAGATATGGTGGAAAATAAAGAGAAGGAATATCAAAGTTTAGGGAGATACAGGAAGGGAAGATGGAGAGAGAAATAATATGAGAAATATAGAGCAGTCGTAACCACAGAGAGAGAAAAAGAGAGATCTTGGAAAATAAACTTTGCGCTAGAGAGAAAGTCACGGAAGACACAGGAAGGGAGAAAGAAGTTGTGAGAGACAAAGATGCAGAATGAGAGAGACATAGGGAGTTATGAGTCGTGCATGAGACGAAGAGAGAAAGGAAGTCTAGAAGGAGAAATATTCTGTGAGAAAGATAAATCGTGTAAGAGAGTTGTTGAGGGAAGGAGGTCTTGAGAAATCTAGAATTAAATCATGCGAGAGAGAGAGAGAGAGAGAGAGAGAGAGAGAGAGAGAGAGAGAGAGAGAGAAGTCCTATGAGAGATGGAGGGAAAGAAAAGTGGAGAGATATAGAAATAAAGAGAGAGAAACGAAGATCCTGTGAGGTAGAAATCGTGGGAGGGAAAGGTATAAAGGAGAGGATAGATCAGTGGTAAGTCGAGAAATAAAGAAATCGTCTGTGTATATACAATGTCCAGCATGTAGGCACAGAGATGGACAAAGAGAGATAATGAGAGAAATCATCTATTAGAGAGAAGTCTTGAGAGATATAGGGGGAAATTATGGTAGGAAGGGAGAAAAAATCAAGAAAAATCGTGTAAAAGAGGGAAAAAGGTCTTAAGAAATATAGAGAGAAATCATGATAAAAATATATATAGGGAGGGAGAGAAGTACTATGAGAGAGGGAGGGAGAAGGAAAGTCTGGTAGAAATTATGGGAAAACGAGCAAAAAATCGTGCCATAAAAGAGAGCGGAAGAGACAGGGAGAAAGTCTTGGGAGAGATAAAGGCAGAGAATGAGAGAGACGTAGAGAGATGTGAGTCGCCTGTGGGTGGAACAGAATAGGTCAGTAGAAAGACGTCAAGAGAGAAAAAAATCGTCTGTGTGAGAGAAATCGTTCGTGAGAGATAATTGCATAGGGAGCGAGATAAGTCTGTGGAAACTTAGGCAGAAAGATGAACAAAGACAGATAATGGGAGAGTAAGGGAGAAAAATCTTATATTTGAGAGAAGTGTTAAGAGCTGTAGAGGGAAATTAGGGTAGGAAGGGAGAAAACGTTTCAAGAGAGATGAGAGATAGAGAAATAGAGGTAAATAGTCGTAAGGATAATTAGAAAGAAAGAAAAATAAGTTTACATATAGAGAGAAATAGTGGCTAGTGAGTGTGAGACGTAGTGAGGGGAAAAGAGAAACGTGAAAGAGACAACAAAATTTTATTTTATTGTGTTTTAGTTTTATAAATTGATATGAAACTGAACTAATTTTAGAACCATATTTTACACGTATTATTGGAAAAAAATAATATTACTGTCGATAAGATCTATTTTTTATTTAGTTCTACAGGTAATTCATTTTTTTTTTAAATCATTTTTGCAGAATCCTCCGGAAGCAGCCGAGGGAGAGATCGCAGCTCCAATAAATTACACTGGTTCCACCACCAACGTCCATCCTTGGTTAAGTTCAATGGTCAATTATGCCCAACCGGTCAAATTTCAAGGATTTGATGTTGCAGAACGTAAGTGTCTTGTTGCCATATCATTTTTTACAAACTATAGAATACATAAAGACAAACATTTGTTTGTAATATAACGCTAAATTGCATCAAAAGTACTGCTCGGAATAGAAAATGATTTTCTATTCCGAGCAGATTCCTCGAGTGTTATAATCGCTACAATGTTAGTCAATCTTGGTAGTAGAGGTGGCAATAAAGCAGAATAATTAAAATTTGCTGACTAAAATCTATTTACATTTATGCTTTAAATAATGGCAAAAAGCAGACAAGTTAAGCAACAAACAAGTTGATGAGGTTAACAATTAATTGGTTCAATAACACCAGAATTCATTAAGTTTTTTACTGCGCAGACTCAGAATGATTCTATGAGCATCTTACTAAAAATCTGTAACATTGCTAAGTATTTCTTTAATAAAACTAGTAAATTTTATTGTTATATATTGCTTTATATTGTATTTATGAAAGAAACTTCACATTGACCTGATTTGAAACCAAGTGATAATTTTATTTTCGAGGCATTAATTTTAAACTATAGTTTAAACTAATAGTTTAAACTCCTTTGATAATAATATAATACAAAACTAGATAAAGTATGTTTTTGCTTTTATAGAGAAGAACATCCATCACAATATGTCCAGTTTTTCTGAACCTGCTGGTTTGAATTATCTGAAAACGCAAGCTATCGAATTCGTCAATTACAACAAGAGACAGATGTCCCGTATATATCCAAGCGGTGCTAGGGCCAATTCTTCAAACTATATGCCACAAGTAAGTTATTTATGTGTTATTTATATGCACCTTTAAGTTTATTTTTTATTGCATTTGACTTATAATATAACTCTACAATTAGGTTCATCTCAATCTGTATTCAACAATCAATATCAATAATGTCTTGTAAATTATAAGTGTTTCAAATTAGATCCACAATAGGGTAGAAAAAATTTATCTTCGAAGACGAAGTAAGGACACATAGGAAATATAAAGTGATCTAGTAGGTGAGGTGAAGTGAATGGATCTGGAAGACGAAGAAGAATGTAAAGTGATGGACTTATAGAGAAATCTGGTAGAACTCAAAAGCTGATACAAAGATATAAAATAAAAATTATGGGAAAAGAGATATCTAAAAGAATATTCTTCTTCTTAACGTGCCTCATCCCTAAGGACATTGGCGATTATCATGGGCCATTTGACTCTATCTGCAGCCTTTCTGCAGATAGAGTCAAATGGTGACACAGTATCGTCACTCGACACTGAGGAGTAGGCAGATTGAGACCTCAGTGCCGAGAGACAGTTCTTGTATTTATAATACAGAACAAGATACTGGTACGTTTCGAGTGAGGAAAGTAGGCAGATTGAGACCCCGAACTCGAACCGAACCGTATCCCTCTTGATAATGGCTCCAAAATGGGAGCCGAAACGTCGAGCATTAAATTCTCAACGCTGTTCTTCCTGAGTACCTAGTGATTTTCATTCATCTGACCGTGGAAATCTATCCGAACATATATATATATATATATATATATATATATATATATATATATATATATATATATATATATATAATATATATATATATATATATATATATATATATATATATATAATATATATATATATATATATATATATATATAATATATATATATATATATATATATATAATATATATATATATATATATATATATATATATATATATATATATATATATATATATATTTATTTCGATGATTTAGAGAGAGAGAGACAGGGGCAGAGATAGAGACGAAATATGTAAAAGGATAATTATAAAGGATGGTGGTATCTAGAAAAGGAATTGGATATGAAGAGGTAGTGATCCGGAAAAAGAATTATAGAGAGATATAAAAGAATTATGGAGAGATCTAAAAGAATTTTAGAGTGAGTGTTCATCAACAATAATTATGACAAGTGGATTATCGAATTCATGAAATTATAGAAGGATTATTAAGTAATGAACAGATAGAGAGATCTAATAAAATGGAAAGCTAAGAGGAATATTTAGAATTTATTATGAAGATCTAGAAAAATAATTGTGAAGGGAGAAGAGAGATCCAGAAGAATTAGAAAGTAATATATGGAAGGAAACATTCTGAAGAGAGGGACAGTGACCTAGACAAATTATGAAAAGAGATAGATTTCTAGAAAAATATGTATGGGAATATATGCAGATCTAGAAGGAAAATCAAGGGGAAAGGGGGAGTGAGAAATATATACCTATGATACATAGGTAGCACAAAGGAATTTGAAGAACACGGGAGATCAAGTTGTTTACAGTACTTGTTCTTGAAGACATTATAAAGATTTCCATTTTGCTCCTTGTATTGAATGTAACTCCAAAAACCAAATAAATCTAGCTTAGAAATAAAGGGAGTTCTTTGGTGGGTGGGAGAATGTAGGTATATAAACATTGTGGGAGTGATAGAGATCTAGCAAAATAATTATGGAGATAAATACAGATTTATAGAAGAAAACTTCTGAAAACATGGTATAAAAGAGATGGATTTTAAGAAAATAGTTAGGAGAACAGAGATGTAGAAAAAGAATCAGGTGTGAAAGGAAGAGAGAAACAGATAATTTGGGTTAAAGAGATTAGACTGCAGAGGGAGATCTAGTTTTTACAGTACTCATTCTTGAAGACATTATAAAGATTTACATTTTGTTTCTTGTGTTAGCTTGTATTTAAAAAACGAAATCGATATAGTAAAAGCAAATAAGAAATACTTTAACACCTTAATATAAATTAATTTTTGCATTTAACAATTTTAATTTTTATGCGTTTTTAAGGTATTTTGGAATGCTGGGTGCCAAATGGTATCTCTCAATTTTCAAACTTCCGATCTGCCGATGCAGTTGAACCAAGGAAAATTCGAATATAACGGAAATTGCGGATACCTCCTCAAACCAGATTTCATGAGACGCCACGACAGAACATTCGATCCGTTTGCAGAATGTCCCGTGGACGGTGTCATCGCTGCTCAGTGTTCAGTCCAAGTTATTGCTGGTCAATTCTTGTCTGATAAAAAGGTAAGTGTTGTTTTTACGTAGTATCTATCTATCGTTCTAGCGTTTTAAGTTCTAAACTAGCTATTATTATTACTTAGTGGTGTAGGATATTATAAACCTTTCAAAATTCTATCCTTGAATATATGATGTTAGCAGTGCCGAGTGATTTGTTTATTTATCTTTTTCTTAATGTTCCCATCCTTTAAGAACATTAGCGATCATCAAGGCCCATTTAAGTCTGTCTGCACCAATTTTGAAAAGTTCGATCGTTGTTTTTCCACTCCACTGCTTTAAATTTTTCAACCAAGATGTGCGTCGTCTCCCCGGTCCTCTTTTTTCTTCCAATCCTTTAGATTTTCTTCTTTGTTGAACCAATCGCATTAACTCATATTCATATAACGTTGAATGCTCGAATAAATGATCTTTGATAAAATTAAAGGCAGATATCGAGCACAGTTTTATTAATTAAATCTTGCCCAAGTACTTTCGCTTCCTAGAGCATCTTCAGGGGCATTTCGTTAATTTTGGGCTATCCAACAAGCGCAGAATGTCATAAACATAAAATTAAACATAAAATTGTACATAACACTACACTAAACAAGGACAAACAGTTATTATTATTTAAAAAAATTTAGTCGAAGCTACATTCTGGTCGGAAACAGGAGAGAAAATGATCATTCAATGTATTTTTTTTTCTTTTTCTTTCTTAAGGTTTACATTTTTTGTCTGATATTTTCCACATTCTTCGAAAACGCTATATCTTAAAACTAGCAAGTATTTGTTCAGTTGCAATTAATTGTTGCTGTCTATAATTACTGTTTCGTTAATTAATATATCTTCAATTACACATCCTTGTCGTATTCCTCGTCTTATAGGTATCTCTTTAGATTTTTGTTGGTCTACTCGTATTATGGCATTCTGATATCAGTATAAATCGGTAGTGCAGGCCATTCACGTTCCGACTTGTGGTACGACTAGTGGTCCAACTTTTGCAGTTGGATCTGAAATCGGACCGTGAGTGGGCTAGTTGGATTAGTTGGACAACTAGTGGTACGACTCGGAACATCTAGTGGGACGACTTGAAGATCCGACTTCCGACTGGCGACGAAGTCAAAGGGTGAATGGTGAAGTTGGAAGTCGGATCACAGGTTGGATAGAAAATTTCCTCAGTCAGTTGACCTTCGGCACCTGTTACGTATTAGATTTCCATAAAATACTTTACGCAAAGATCTCTAGTTCGCGAATATTTAATAGAAAATAAACTTTCGATTGCACGAAAATTACCTTTTTGTTAGGGCAAATCATTTTCCTTTCTGTAGATCTATTTCGGACATTCCCATACAGGTAAATTTCCGATACTCCGGATTGGCTACGGAAGAATTATCAACAAACAATGAAAATTAAATCATAGTTGCAGCAAAAGATCCCTAGTTCGCAAAAAAATAATAGAAAATAACTTTCAATTGCAAGAAAAATTATTCCTATTAAAAATATACGACACACACACAACAAAATAAATCTCAACTCCAGTTTAAAACAAATAAAATATAGATTTTATACCTACACAAATCTTTAAAAACAATAATTTTTTCTTACATCTTATAAAGTCATAAAAATCAAGGGTTGAAAAAATTAATTAGTTCAGCCCTAGACAAATAACTAGAGAAACAAAACCTAATTTTTAACCATACATAACATACATATAAGGATAACAAGCACAATGCTGCCATTTTCCTTCTCCTAATTATATTTTGCGTAGTGTTTATTCGAAACATTTTTTGGTTAAGCGATGTACACCATCGTGGAAAACAACCTAGATCTGAAGTTGGACCGCTAGTTGGATAGGAAGTCGGAGCGTGAGTGGAGACGAACATCCAACTAGTAGTCCTACTAAGTGGGACCACAAGTCGGAACGTGAATGGCCTATCTAATGAGTAAAATTCTCACATCCTGATGTTATATTTTGGCGAAGGCTTTCTCAAAGTCAACTAGAAATATGAGTACGTCACAGTTGATATTTCGACACCGTTCTATAAGTGTGTGTAAGTAAATGATGTGTCTCTAGTGTCAAAGCCGTTTCTAAATCTCATTTGGTTTCCTGATTCTATGGTCTAGTTTTTATAGACACCTTCATGTATCACTCGCAAGAAGACTTTTTATTGAGACAATATTTAAATAATCAACAAACTTTCTGTGATAGGTACAATCGTAGATGTAGAGATACATATCTAGAAGAATTATGAGAGTGATAGAGACCTAAAGAAGGCATACTGGGCGGAAAAGGGAAGATTTACAACAAGCAATTCAATTGAAGAAATGTATAGAGTACTAGATGGATTTTTAATTTGGAGGGATAAAGAAATCGAACAGAATTACAAGGTGAAAAAAGACATCATAATTATGGGGGGATAAGATCTAAAAAAGTATGATACGTTATGGAAATTTAGATGGAGATAAATATCTAACAGGATTACCAGTAAAAATCGACACAATGCATTATAAATAGAAAAAAAAAATAGAAAATTAGGAAGTGGCAGAAAGTTATGGAGTGAAATAGAGGTCTAGAACAAAAATGTGAAGAAAAATAGAGAAATCTACTTGATTCGGAAGTGAGTAATTATTGAATGAGATAGATATTTTACAAAATTACAGTCTAGGAAGTCTATAGAAGTATAAATATGGAGAAATATACAAATTTAGAGATGTATCTCTAGAAATGTCTCTAGAGGTGTAGAGAAAGAATTCTGGAGAGAAACAGAAAATTTTACTTTTTATTAAGTGAATAATTAATTATTGATCCAATTAGATATTTTGTAGAGATTTGGAGATGGTCTGGGAGAATTATATAGAAAAATGGAGAGATGTGTGAGAACAATGAATTGAGAAAAATATAGAGTAATGGATGAATAATGATTATATAAGGAATTGACATTTCGAAAAATTGTGAAACAAGATAATGGCAGAGTTATAGAGAAAGATGATGTCTAGAAAAAGAATTATGAAGAGAAGAGCAGATTTAAAAGATTTAAGGAGAGACAAGACTATATAGTTGTGGAAAAAATATTTTGAGGTATTATTTCCTTTTTAGGAATTTATCAAGGATCGATAGAGAAAAATATGGAGACGAAAATAGAGATCTAGAGGTAATAAGTAGCTTCATAAATTGAAAGGGTTCTTTCTAGAAATACTAGTGACTAATTGAATGATATAGAAATCAAGATTTATAGAAAAAGGTAAAAAATGACATATTTATTAAAAAAAAATAATATGAACAAAGATCAAAATTTAGAAGAAGAAATCTAGAAAAATAATTTGACGATAGATAAAGATCTAGAAAAATAATTATAAATAGAAGCAGTGTAAAAAGGTGTGTTGGAAATGTAAAGAAAGAAATGTTTCATGTATTTCTACAAATGAATTTCAGGCTATTATTATTGTTTGTGAAATAAGCGCGCTTGATTATTTTGATTTGATTAGTTTATTGTTTTGTTTGTATCGCGTTTTAAACTTTCAGTTTACATTTCATTCATTTATTTTTTCTAGGTTGGCACATACGTTGAAGTGGATATGTACGGGTTGCCGACAGATACCATCAGGAGAGAGTTTCGCACACGAATGGTACCTGCTAACGGTCTCAATCCAGTCTACAATGAGGAACCGTTCTTATTCAGGAAAGTCGTGTTGCCCGATTTGGCTGTGTTAAGATTTGGGGTCTACGATGAAAATGGAAAACTTTTGGGACAGAGAATCCTTCCATTGGACGGTCTGCAGGTAAATCTTTTAATAAATAATCATAAATGTTTGTGGGTGTTCGTAAACATTTTCTGGCTTTATACTTTTCCAGGGACTAAAGTACTTTTTTTGTTTTAACCGAAACATTTTCGGTTTTATCATTTTATAGACCAACTTATAGGTTAGATTATGTCTGGTAATAGTTTTTTTCATTTCATTCTTCCGTATACTAAATATAAAGTTTTTCATCCTCTTCATTTCGTTCCGAAAATCTTTGAATTCTATTTGTAACGTTTTTGGATGTTGAGTTTAAGTTGTCGACGGATTCCTGCATTAGTACTCCCTTCATGACAGTTGCAGATCCCATTTACAGCTATAATATATCGCTTGAGATTCAGTAGAAGAGGTGGTTTAATTTGTAATTTGAGAATGATTTCCACTTCGGAAATTGTTCTCAAAATACAAATTACATCAATTATTTTGTCTTGTTACTTGGTAATACACAAAAATTTCATCTAATTTTAGAAGAAATATTTTCAGAACACAGCCACTAAAGCCAGAAAAGTGATGTTCCTTAGTATTTATATTAATAAATTATTAAAATTTTTAGGCCGGCTACCGTCACATTTCTCTGAGAACAGAAGCCAACTTCCCCATGTCTCTTCCTATGCTGTTCTGTAACATTGAGTTGAAAATTTACGTACCGGATGGTTTCGAAGATTTCATGGCAGCTTTAAGTGATCCAAGAGGTTTTATGGGAGCCCAGCAAAAGCAAAACGAACAGATGTCCTCCTTGGGCATAGAGGTATGTATATTCAATACAATTCATAAAATAGATTATCTGTAAATCTTTGTTGGCCGACGTATCTTTTAATTATTTGAACATTTACCCACGTAATATTGATACCAAATCTAGCTACTAACTAATAATTTCATTCTACAAGCTAATTAGCTTGAATAATGTCGAAAAGCTTCTTTTAAACACACGAACCGAACTTAGCTGTTTTATTTTTCATCATTTTTGTGGGGCATTTTAAAAAGTTACCCTCAACTCAGTCATAGTTGATTAGCTTGCGACCTTTGATAGTATCGGAGATCGCTGGGATTATTGCGGCAATATAGCAATTATTAATTACGGCACGGATTTATATTCCTACATACTCTCATATTTCTCTTGTCTCCCTTGAGAATATTTCCATCGTCTTCCCTTTTTTTTCTCATTTGCGCTCCCACGTTTTGCGCTTACATGCTTTTTGAAATAGCTCATTCCTCTTTTTGACTCTCTCTGCTTCTATCTCGGTTGTCGTTCTTCTTCTTGATACTTTTTTGACCCTCTCTTTGATGTAATTGTATACCCTCTGAACCATGGACGTATAAACACAGATGGACTCAGTTATTTACATAAAATTGTGAAGTCAAAATTATTTGAATAGTTCACATTCTCAACACCTTCAACTGTTGTCACGTTTTGTTTTAAAATTTCTTATTCGCGAGTCGCTGAAAATATTACTCCGTATTTTATAGTCTACAGGTGCTATCAAACCAAAATAATAATTTATTGGTTAGATTAATATATCTAATTGTAATCAAAATATAAAGTGTGCACATAGTGTGCATTATTATTTAATAATAACGTATAATTTAGATATCAATCAATTATTTTATATGTAGAAGCACTGCAAACTATTTATAAATGGCAACGGTTGTTTACATTTCTCGGTCTTATGGATATACGTCAAACTTCAAATGCTGTTTCATGTTTGTTTACTTTTTACTAAAAGTTGTTTTTCGATATTTTGGCTGTATTTTGAGTGATGTTTGTGAAAAGTGAAATAAAATAAACGAAATATTTACATCCCGATCTCTCATTTCATTTGTAAGTACATAAAATTTACATTATTTAAGATGAGGAAATGAGGAAGCGTGTTTGTTTACATTTTAATAGGCGTTTAATTGGGTTTATTCATGTTCATTAATGTATTAAATAAGATATAATTTCATGAAATTAGACATTTTTAAATTGTAAGTAGACATCATCTGATTAAAAAAGATCTATTTAGTACCTTTTTAATTTAATATTTCTCATGGATGCAAATAAATTAGTGAAATGAATAAAACTCATTTATTTTTCTATGTAGGTTTCCAAATAATATTGACGATCAAACTATTTTGGTAGCAAATTTAGGAGAAAACATAAAGATTTTTTATTGTAGCATTATTTTGATACCTATTAAAAATTAACTTGAATTCAACTATATTTAATTGTATTAATTTTAAAGCAAATAAAATTGTATTTTAATTTTTCTATAAAGACGTGATTTGTTAATAGTTAAACTCTCGTTTTTTTTTTTAATTCTTTGAACGTGTTTTTATACATTATTACTACTTCCAATTTTTAAAATCTGAATAATTACGCGCGAGTAAAAATTCAAGCACGCTTATGCTCATTGCGGAAGCATCACATTCTATCGAAGCTTCAAAACATTGTGTGTTAAAGGTATCTTATTGCTGTGTCCATCTATGTTTATACGTCCTTGCTCTGAACTCACTACCTCTATGGCCGTCTGAAGTCCGCCCACCAGCATTCTTTCGAGCAAGCTTCTTTGGATTATCACATACAATAACTATCCAATATTGGATCATCTATCGCATTCCAGTAGAATGTGAAGTTCCATTTAACTACACCTCCAAACCTGTAAAAGTAGGTTTTTAAGTATCCGTGTTCAGTGAGCACCTGCGTGAGAGAAACACTCAGATGCTTACATACAGTCCATCTAACGTACTCAATGATATAAGAGCTTTCAAATGATATATCATAAATATGACCTATTTTGTCAGTCAAGGAAACTGTCGATGACGTCATACTTTTGACAGATGTCAATGTCATGGCAATTTTTAGCGATATCACTAACAATGCTAAAGTTATAAAAACTTACTAATTACTTTAATTTATTAACAGACTGGAGAAGGACTTTTCTTTACTAAAATACAACTTAAAACGGGACGATGAAAAGTGTTTCTCGAAGGTGGCTAAGTTCTGTTAGCCGTTAGTATATTTTTTTGATAAGTGTGGCAGTCGACTTGTTACAACTCGCGAGAATTGCACTATGGGATATAAAAACAGTACAATAAGCAAACATTCAAGAAAATATGGTACATACACATTATAGATTTGTATAGATTTAGCACACGAATCAATGCAAAATATCGTGTAACTAATAATTGATTTTAATTATTGTAGGTCACTTCTGATAAACCTGCTGAGAAGAAAGAAAAGAAAGAGGAAGTAAAGTTGGGTAAGTTATCCTAATCGTTGGTGTCTTTACGAGGTAATCATATCTTGCAATTTCAGTATTCGAACCAATTACCATCGAGTCCATCAAACAAGACAAAGCCTTCCAAAAAACTACAAAGAAGCAACAGAAGGAGTACGATACTCTGAAGAAAAAACAAGCCAAAGAGAAACAGTCTGTGCAAAAGGCACAGTGTACTGCCATCGATAAACTAATTAAAGGAAAAAAGTAAGTACTGTTTTATGTTTCAACTAAGAAATGTTTTTCAAAAGACATAAAAAAGATAAAACCAAACTACATAAACAATAAGTTTTCTTTAATTTTTCACCTTCTTGGCGGGATATTTTCCCATTTCCCCGATGTAGCCGCCACATGATACTATAACAAAACAAGATAAGTCAACGCGCATGTTCTTGTGACGTAAGCCTGAGACAAGTTGTCAAAATGCCAAATTAACAAAATTAATGACAGCAAGTTAAATTAAATTAAAATTTTTCATTTTCAAGCATTCATGAATGGGGCAGATTTTGCAATTTAATAAAAATATTTATGTATATTATTAAAATAATTAATTGTGTTTGTTAGTTTTAAACCAATATTTCTACTTTTTAGCAAAAACGATTTAGTGAATGACCCCACAGTTCGTAAATTAGTGACAGAGCAAACTTTGGAATGGAGCGCCCTAATGGAACGTCATCGAAAACAAGAATGGGAATTTTTGAGGACGCAGTTAAATGATCAGAGAGACTTGCTGAGAAAGCATATGGAACTTTTGCAGGGGATGCAAATGAAACAGTTGGAGGGCAAACACGAAAGAGAATTAAAAGAACTGAGCAGTACGCAGGCGAAGATATCGGTCGAGACTGCAAAGGAGGTAAATTATTTTGGTACTTTCAGAATGTCTATAAATGTCTGAGGCACATATTTATTTTTAAAATATCTTGGTATGGGATTTTCAATTTAATTTAACTCAATTATCGTGTCTGTTTGTCCGGTACTAGTTCAAGGCGCCGCATTGGTTCATATTATATTATATATGCTAACTGTTTGTAAAATCAACAAATCCGACTTTATATCTTCTTTTTCGCGTGCCATATCAGAATTATCCGATGTTGGTGATCACCATTGCGAAGGCGTCTCGATCTTCTGCAATATGGAATAGTTGTCCTGCATTTGGTATCTGAGTCCATTCACGAATGTTTTTTAACCAAGAAACTTACTATATGTCCCAGATACGACATTTTTCGATGTTAAACAGCCTTTAGCACTTCTCTATCTTTGTTGACGCTCCTTAGTACTTCGTCATTAGTTTTCCTTACTGTCCAAGGTATCTTCAGCATTCGTCTATGAACCCACATTTCCAATGCTTCAATTTTATTCATGATCCATACTTTTAGCGTCCACACTTCCGCACTATACAAAAGTACAGACCAAACATAGGACTTAACCATTCTTTGCCCTAGTTCTAAACTGAGATGGTTATTGCAAAGAAATGACTTTATTTTCATAAAAGTAGTTTTAGTCATTGCTATTCTACGTTTTATTTCTATATCTGGATCTAGTTGGTCCGTTATTACAGTTCCCAAATATGTCATTTTGTGAACTTTCTCAACTTTGACTCCGTTCAATTGAAGCTTTTCATCGGGATGTGGGTCACGACTAAACACTAAAAATTTGGTTTTGTTTGAGTAATGCCCATTTCCTTTTCTACCTCGTGCGATCAAGCAGAATTTGAAGACCTTCAATATTATCTGATAGAATTACTGTATCGTCTGCATATCTAATCACATTAAGTAGTTCCTCCTTGATTTTTATTCCATATGGTTGCCTCTCAAGTGCCTTTTTAAATAACTGGTCCGAGTAGACATTGAACAATGTTAATTACTATTAAACTGGGAATAAGCCACAATTAAAGATAAAAATACTTTTATTAACGTTTCAATTTCCACTTCGGAAATCGTTCTCAAAATACAAACAGTAAATTAAACAAATTTTGTTTTTTGTTACATAGTGAAAAATTCTTCTAATAATTTAATTTTAGCTGGCTCATTTATATTGACAATTCAGACATACATTATGCATTTTAAAGTAGACGACTTTAAAATGATATTGCCAATATTGTTGAGTTGCGCTCCTGGGACGACTTTACTTATAAGATAGTTCATTCGATTACATGAAATCAACTTTAACTTGAGAATATTTGTCAGAAAAAAATCATAGCATGTAATTCGTCTTTAAAAAGACAAACACATGACATGGTGACAGTAAAATTCTCCTGTTAGTGATCTCATAGTAAATTATGAGGGAAAACCAGGAAAAAAACCTCATAATACTATCCCGACATTGTAAGTATTTGTTCGTGAATTTAGTTTACCTTCAACAAACATCAAAATTCTGATTTTATATGTTACGTTATTTAAAAAACATAAATGATGTATCCTCTATATGTTACTGACTTACTAATACTGGTATTTTCTTATTAATAACTTCCTCTTTCAATATTGGTAACCAGATCCTACTACATTCTGCCGAGGAATTTGTGACACAATTGGCCTCATTTAGCATAATTAGAGCCGCTTCTTTGATTTTTCTTTTTTTTTACCATCCGTTTCTTTTAGGACTACATTTGAATTATTCCATTGAACCCTATGTTCATTATCCCATAAGTGTTTACAGATTTGAGATCTATCAAATTCTTTATTTTTAATATAAGATTGATGTTCACTTGTTCTAACATTTAATGGCCTTGATGATTCACCTAAATAAAACTGATCGCATTCACAAGGTATTTTATAAATGCAATTCTTTGTCCTTTCTTGTTCATTGTTAGGTTTGGTTTTGGACAAAATAGATCTCAACGTGTTTATTGTTTTGAATGTTGTTGAAATGTTGATTTTATTTCCTATCCTTTTAAGTTTTTCTGATAGTCCTTTTATGTACGGTATTGTTATTTTCCTCATATTATTCCTTGTGTATGCTGTAGGATCTCGTTCTAAGTTGTTCTGTTCTATTCGATCGATTGTTGAAAATTCCTTATTTATAAACGATAAAGGATAATCATTTTTTAATAAAAATAATAAAGATGTTAACAAATGTTTCTCCTCCAAGAACGAATTTTCATTAGAACAAGTAATTTTGGCTCTATCGTATAAGGATTTAATTATTCCCTTTTTCACATTAATATTGTGATTTGATTTGAAATTTAAATATCTATTGATGTGTGTTATTTAATAATAAATATATTTAAATTTCAAATCAAATCACAATATTAATGTGAAAAAGGGAATAATTAAATCCTTATACGATAGAGCCAAAATTACTTGTTCTAATGAAAATTCGTTCTTGGAGGAGACACATTTGTTAACATCTGTTTTATTAAAAAATGATTATCCTTTATCGTTTATAAATAAGGAATTTTCAACAATCGATCGAATAGAACAGAACAACTTAGAACGAGATCCTACAGCATACACAAGGAATAATATGAGGAAAATAACAATACCGTACATAAAAGGACTATCAGAAAAACTTAAAAGGATAGGAAATAAAATCAACATTTCAACAACATTCACAACAATAAACACGTTGAGATCTATTTTGTCCAAAACCAAACCTAACAATGAACAAAAAAGGACAAAGAATTGCATTTATAAAATACCTTGTGAATGCGATCAGTTTTATTTAGGTGAATCATCAAGGCCATTAAATGTTAGAATAAGTGAACATCAATCTTATATTAAAAATAAAGAATTTGATAGATCTCAAATCTGTAAACACTCATGGGATAATGAACATAGGGTTCAATGGAATAATTCAAATGTAGTCCTAAAAGAAACGGATCAATGGAATAATTCAAATGTAGTCCTAAAAGAAACGGATGGTAAAAAAAGAAAAATCAAAGAAGCGGCTCTAATTATGCTAAATGAGGCCAATTGTGTCGCAAATTCCTCGGCAGAATGTAGTAGGATCTGGTTACCAATATTGAAAGAGGAAGTTATTAATAAGAAAATACCAGTATTAGTAAGTCAGTAACATATAGAGGATACATCATTTATGTTTTTTAAATAACGTAACATATAAAATCAGAATTTTGATGTTTGTTGAAGGTAAACTAAATTCACGAACAAATACTTACAATGTCGGAATAGTATTATGAGGTTTTTTTCCTGGTTTTCCCTCATAATTTACTATGGAATCACTAACAGGAGAATTTTACTGTCATCATGTCATGTGTTTGTCTTTTTAAAGACGAATTACGTGCTATGATTTTTTTCTGATGGATATTCTCAAGTTAAAGTTGATTTCATGTAATCGAATGAACTATCTTATAAGTAAAGTCGTCCCAGGAGCGCAACTCAACAATATTGGCAATATCATTTTAAAGTCGTCTACTTTAAAATGCATAATGTATGTCTGAATTGTCAATATAAATGAGTCAGCTAAAATTAAATGATTAGAAGAATTTTTCAGTATGTAACAAAAAACAAAATTTGTTTAATTTACTGTTTGTATTTTGAGAACGATTTCCGAAGTGGAAATTGAAACGTCAATAAACGTATTTTTATCTTTAATTGTGGCTTATTCCCAGTTTAATAGTAATTAATTTACAATGCCACAAGAAAATAGCTTCAGAACAATTGAACAATGTTGGCGACAAAATGCAACCTTGTCTCACTCCTCGTTATATGAGGATTTTATCGGTGTAGGTATCTCCAATTTTTACGATAGCAGTTTGATTCCAGTACAAATTTTTAATGACACGAATATCCTTGTCATCTATTCCGATATTTTTCAGTATTTGCATTAATTTTAGATGCTGTACTTTATCGAATGCCTTTTCGAAGTCCACGAAACATGCAAATACATCTTTTCTTTGGTCACGACATTTTTGTAATAGGATGTTAAGCGCAAAAAGTGCCTCCCTGGTTCCCATAGCATTTCTAAAACAAAATTGGGTATCTTCAAGATCTTCTTCGCATTTGCGTCTAATTCTGTTGTTAAGTATTCTTAGGAAAATTTTAAAGTGTGGCTCTTTAGGCTAATTAATTGATATTCTGAGCATTTTCTTGCATTGTGTTTTTTAGGTATTACGATAAAGATGGATTTGAGACCGACTTTATATATTAATAAGTATTTACCCAACACACACATTATACGAAAACAATCAAACAATCAATATTTATTATTTTTTTAGGTTGCCAACGACAAGAATCTGAAGACGAAGAAAGATAAGGAAAGAAGATTGAAGGAAAAGCAACAGAATAACAATAAACGTTTCTTAGAAGAAAGAAAAACGGCTCAAATGAAACAGAACAGAGAAAAGGAAAAGCTGCAAATGACCCATGCCAAACAGTTGGAGATGTTGTCGCACGATATTCAGAAGATGATCGACATGTATAAAAACGAGGAGGCAGAATATGATATGTCTAGCAAAACAGAATTTTTCGCTTAAAAATTTTAGAGTTCTTATTGTTCGTTACTTGTAGCTTATGAATATTTAATTAAATTGTATAGATTTCGAGGTCAAGTAAATTATATGAATTATTTAACGTTGATATGCGTTTTTTATTTAATCCACCATTTTGCTTTAAAAACAATCTTTTTTTGGTATTATCGTCAGAGGTACGGTCAGTATCGTCATAATTTTACTATAGAGTGGTCCAACGAAGTTGTATTGGAATTTTTATTATTGTATAAATTACCCAATTTACCACCAACACTGATGGCGCACAACAAAGTTAACCTTCGATACTGACCATCGGAATGTTCCGACAACATTTTGGAATAGGTGGAATGCACTTACCAAAAAGCAAATAAGAGGTCTGGCTGTTCAATAACAAGACTGCTCATGAAAAAGAGTTTTATTTTAAAAATTATTCTACAATCGAATGCCCTTCTTCAATATATTCCCCTCACCACGCACCGTTCCATTCATTTTTTCTATTGGACAGAGCAATGCTTTTGTTAGAGCTTTTAGGAGCTCCGCCGTTTTTTGCTTCACCTCTTCCATCGACTCAAATCTTCGGAACCAGGAAAAAGTCACACGGTGCTAAATCAGGCGAGTACGGCGGGTGTTCGAGCACTGGAATGCCTCTACCAGCTAAATAACGGTCCTGGTGCAAGATCCACGGCTTGTTTTTCCACAACTCCGGCCGTTGCTTACGAACTCGCTCTCGCAGCGTCGTCAAAACTTTCAAATAGTGAGTTTGGTTTACAGTTTGACCCTCTGGAAGCCATTCAGTCATCACGATCCCGTTAATGTCGAAAAAAAAAACTATTAGCATGGCTTTAAATTTGGATTTCGACGACCTTGCTTTTTTGGGCTGACGTAATGTCTCATTAGAATATTTCTTCGGCATTGTCAACTGAAATACAAAGAAAATCTCAATTAATAAACAAATATTTGGACGCAGTAGCTGACAAATATGTTAGTAACCAATATCAGACATGGGTGTCAGCTATTGCTATAACATAAAATTTTGCTTGCATTTACAGGGTTATTTACGTGCTTCCTACTTAAATATTCATTCAAAGTATAAAAACATCTGAAACCCGATAGCTGACACTAGTGTCACTTACTGGATACTCGCTCGGATTTTGCATCAATAACTGACACCTCCTATCTAACCTTACTTTATTAACATAAGATATTTTAAACAACAAATACGTACATTTATATTACTGTTAAATGGATCTACACTAAAAGACTTACCCTTTAAATACACATTAACGTCACACACCCAATGTCACCAAAATTAAAATTTATTTTATCGGCGCATTGATGCCAAGAAGCAAAGATCGCCAATACAACAGACTGTACAGTTTCAAATAGTCTTAGTACAAAAATAACAAATTCTGGTGTCGCTTATTGGGGTACTGTCAGCAATGGGAGCCACTACTTTACTGCGCGTGCGTGCTAGGGTTGTTGAAACTTAGATAATTGTTTTTAGTATTAGTATTCAGGAGACAAAATTAAACAAAACATATTTTAACTATTGATTTTACTACATATTATTACATTATTTTCATACACATTCTAATATTTATACAATTGTTTATCGTTGAACAATGGAATGCACTGCTTATGCAACAAAAACCTTCAAAAGAGGTAAGTATAATATTCTTGGGTTTAACTTCTTACATAAAGACAGTTCATTAATTTTTTTGCTTTGGTAATTTCGGCGCTATAATCATAATATCATTCCCTATGTTATTAAAAAAATATAACCTATGTTTTGTTGCAATAAATAATTTTTTGGATTCCTAACTGATAGCCGTAGAGTTTTAAAATATAAGACATACATAAGCCTTTGAAAAACGAATTTTAATTTGGTTTATTATTGGTTTTTTTAAGAAGACTCACAACTTTCAGTATATATTTTTCATGCTCCTAAGCAGCTTTATATTTTGGTAACTGACTTGTTTAAACGGGTTTAAACTCATTTTAGTCGAGCTGACTTTCGAACAGATCCCTTTTAAGTATTATTACAATAAAAGATTCCTTACGAATTACCACTTGGACATCCACGAATAATTGAAGGCCAACCAACAGACGAGCACAGAGGAGAAAATTAATTAGCAAAATTATTATCATCTATTATATTCTATATATTATCATTCATTGCTGAAAATAAGCTTACATTGAAAATGACCATTATTTTCTGTTCTAAGTTACTTGGATTCATTTTGTTTTAATACTTTCATACCATTTTCCCTACGTGTAAGTGTTATTCCTCTGTTTTGTCAGTTGTCGGTCGCAATTCCAATATCTTCGTTCACCTTCCATCATTCATTCCTTAAACATGGCCAACCCAGTTCCAACTTAGTTTGGCAATTGGTTCAATAATGTTTTCTCATTTTTAACTCGACCAATGATAGGTATTTCGAGCAATACTTTTTCCATTTTTCTTTGGGCGTCTTTAAATTTGTATATCTAGAGCTTTCAGGTTGTGGTTAAGTTCTTGGCGATATTGAAAATGCGTTTGGAGTATCTGCGGTCGATTTTGCAGTAAATTAGTGCCTTCAAGATTGGAGTATGTTCAACAATGCTTAATGCCTTCGTAATTTCGGTGTACTTATTACTGAATAAACGAACGTAGCTCATGATTATCAGATTATATGTTTGAAGTAGAAATATGTTTGTAATTCTCTTTCACAGCGCCAATTAAGTCAAAAATAGAAACGAATATAGATCAAATCGAATAGATTTTAAATTAAAGGATATTAAAATGATTAATGGGACATAATAGAATAGGAACATTCATACGCTGAAAATAAACCGTTAATCTATAAAGATATGACCAAACTGCTAGTCAAATCTGCTGGTAAAACAAAAATATTTAGGATCTTTGGCGCATTTTGATAGACTTCCAAAGGGCCACATAACCAATAGTACTAATATAAAAACAGCGAACACTATATGAGCATGAGTTATAAAAATTGTTTTTTTTAATTCAAAAGAAAAAAATATTGGATGAACAAAAATTTGTATCTCTTAACTATCAGCTAAGTCTCCAGAATCAGTAAAAGTTATTCTCTTAAATAAAAAAGCACTTAACTAATAAATTGATAACGCGTTTTCGAGTATTTTGTTAAAATATACTGCAATTCGATTCCAATTTTCAATTTTATTTACTAATGTTAATATTGTGACATATCTAATAGATTAAGAGAAGCCAACAATCTTTATTTTTAGTCGGACGTCCTTATTAACCAATTATTCATATTTCAACATCTTTGTTTTTTGATATAAACCTTAAAACATCTGTACACGAAATGGAAGAAAGCAGGTGATGAAAAATGATATGATCGTCACACAATACGAAACATCGATGCAAGGAGAAAAAAAGCATCTCGTTTGTACCAAGTTTCAATGACAGAAACTATAAGATTAATACTGAAGTGACTCAAGAAGGTAATGATAGAGAAAGCAACAAAAGACATAGATAATATTTACTTACATCGAATAATTCATAAATGGCACATAAGAAGACCAGTTTGGTCTTGTTTCTTTTTCTTTATACAAGATAAGGTTATATAAGAAGATAATATTCGTCGAGGTCTAACAGACCGGTGACAACTGATTGTATGAAAACTGACATTGTATTATGCACATATACACTTACCGCAAAAGTTTTGTACCACCAAAAATTATGTTACACTAATTTTTTTTATCATTTTAGGCTTGGGCAAAAGTTTAGTCAAACTTCTTTTTGGGCTTATACCAAGAGAAAAAAAAAATATTTGTATAAGTTTGAGACACCCTGTACGGAGAACAAGCTATAAGGGTGGGATTACATAAAAACCACGTTATAGTCTCGTATTTTGTGAACATTTTGTTTTTTGAATTTCCCTGATTATTTAAAAACAAAGAAAATATAGGGTTTTAACCTCTGAAACAATACTAATAGTACAAAATCTCACTGAAGGCTCGCTACGTTCATAATGTAGTTTATAAAATTCACATTTTTAGGTACAATGAAAATAAGGGAATACATTGATAATAGGTTGCCAATCAAAGAGTGGCCACCAATATTTTTAATTCAGTTAATAATAATTAAATTTTGAACAAAAATTTTATTCGTTTATTAATAATATTAATACCAAGCCACCTACGGCTTGATAACACGGAAAGAGTCCTACCAGAGCTCAATCCTTTTGATACCATAGGTATCTGGGATGAGTGAATTTTCCCGTCAGAGGGAGTGTGGGCCGTATGGCTAAATCTGATATTAATAATTTTATTTATTTTTTAAATAAAATACGCTGCGCATGACTTATATGCATGTTTTTTTTTATATCAAACACAAAAGAATAATCTTTTATTTCTGAAGTTTTTGTTATTCTTAATACCCATTAACAACCTCTTGCACAACGAAAAAACAAATGCTCTTCTTTCATTGTACAATAAATTCCAAAATTTAGATTTTATTTCTAATCTTTCTTCTAGAAAATTGTCGCTACAAGCCAATAATTTGCAACATTTGTTGCCATCACTCTCTGGAGGTAAAACTGAATGTTTCATTTGTTTCTCATGCTGCTTTTTAATTTTCCGACTTCCAACGCTTTTTACAATTTTCCTTTTTTGTGGATCACCCTTTTTAGTCACACCATTATCTTCTTTTTCTAACATAATAAAAGCCTTCATCTCTCCAGCAACAAGCATTTCTTGTTCATAATTATGAAAGATATCATAAATAGAACAGCTGATGTTCATATTTTATTTAATAAAACTGCTGCATCTGCATAAAGCTTAGGAAAAATGCAGCATGCGATAGGTAGACACTGCGTTTTTCCTTAACACATCATACTGCATTTTCTTTAAGCAAGTATGTAAAAATTGCTGTAGATACTGCATTTATACAAATAATATGTTAATACACAGCTACAGATAGTGCATTTTTACTAAGTAAATTTTATACTAAGTATAAAAAGAGCACGTTTTCCTGATTCCAATGATATAAACAACTTTATGTGTAATTATTGTACGTATTGTGTTTTTGCTTATGAGGGCAGTATTAAAATGAGCATAATTTTTGGTGATGCAAAATTTTTGAGGTTAAGTTTATATTCCCTTAAAGTCAACTGAATGTTATCCAACTTTGACGTTGGCATTACAGCGTTGCCATATTGTTGGGATTGTAGAAGATATAGGGAATTGAACGTTATTATTATTGTAAATACATTTGTTTTAGCATTTTTTTATGAAATACAATAAAAATTAAAAATGACAATTATACAAACAGTCACTAATTTTCATTTGCACTTCATAAGTTACAGGTGAGTTTGTGTAATTTTAATCTAAGATTCTATTTTTTCGTAACTTCATTTCTGTTATTCGTTTCATCGTTGTATTCTAGCTGACTTGACTGTTTTATTAGATTGTTTGCTTTTCTTAGTTGAATTTCTAAAACGCTCTTTGGTCATTATAATTCGATATGATAAAACGTGTGGTTCATTTCTAATCGTAAACCATCTACAAAGTCTATAGAGTAGCTAACATTAATATATTCAAGTCTATCAACTGAACTAGATCACATTTGCACAAAAACTTACTTAATAAGACAGTATTGTCAGTTCATTATACATTAGACGGTAATTTTTTGATAATAAAAGCCTCAAATTGCAACAAAGTTTGGTTTTAAAGAATATTCAAGAAAATTAATAGATATTTTCGATAGAACATTAGATCATCATAATGTCTGAAACCGTAGTATTCATTAATAACAAAATCATGGTTTGAAAGTATGTGGGTTGGAATTTTAACCACTTTGACAGTATAATACGAGTATATACACGACCTAACTTGTGGTTTACAATTTCTTTACCACAATTTTGAACAATTTATTTAAATTAAAACAATTCT